GTATGGATTGTTTTAAGAGCTGTAAGAGCCCCCAGTAAAGTGATTTATATATATTTTTAAAAATTAGCCCTTTCTATGGTGATTGAAGGAAACCCTGGTGGTGCAGTAGCTTAAGCAATGGCCAGCTAACCCCAAGGTTAGTGGTTCAAACCCACAGAAGCTGTCTGTTCCTGTAAAGACCTCAAAAACCCCCAAAACAGTTCTATTCTGTTCTATAGGGTTGCTTAGAGCCAGAATCAACCCAGTGGCAGTGGAGTTGTATGCTGATTAAGACTATTTTTTTAAGGTTCCGTTTTAATTAATCTCCCATTCAGACAGCCACAAATATCACTAAAAGGTTTGTTGACGGTCTCTTTACTTCGCTCATTATGCTAACTCAAAGTTTTGCAACTGAAACAGAACCATTAGTAAATATTAGGGAGAGACAAGGAATTACATTTAATTAAAAGAACAGTCTCACTTACATATTAATAATCCCATCGATTTGCTGTTACTACTATGACAGATTTACCTGAGCTGAAAATAAGACTCGTCTCTCATGATCTATGAGTAAGCCTTAACGAGGATTTGAAGGTAGACTCCGACTATTGGATGCTCACTTACGAGGGCCCGATTGTATTTCTCTCTGGCTCATGCATTTGTAACAATATTCATCCTTTTGACAGAGTCATTGCTGGAGGTCCTGAGCAGCGAAGACCTGCATACGAACACCGAAGCTTTCTTGTACTGCACGGGGGCTATAAAATTCCTCTCTGGAAACCTGGGGTTTCTTAATGAAATGATCAGCAACGGTGTGGTGGAAAAATTGATGAATCTGATAAAGCAAATAAACGAGAATACCAAGAAATGTGGGGTGGTTTTGCCCGATTCAGGCCACTTGTTAGTCCAGGTAAGTATTTTTCTTTGAAAGCCTTAAATATGTCCAATTTGTTTTCATGTTGCGTGATACCAACATTCTACAGAGCCCTGGTAATGCAGGAGTTACGTGCTTGGCTGTATGGTTAAAGGGCCAGCAGTTGGATCCCACGAGCTGCCCTGTGGGGGAAATGTGACTGTCGGCCTCCATAGAGATTACAGCCTTAAAGCCTATGGGGCAATTCTGCTCCATGCAGTAGGTTTGCTCTGATCAACTCAATGGCAATGGGCCTGGTTTTGTGTCAATGGCACAATGCTTAGGGGCGTAGCTGCTGACCCAGAGCTGGTGGATCTGAATCCCCTCTGACCTTAGACTGGCGATGTGAATTGCCTTGCTATACTGTGGAGTGCATTGGAAAGTGGATTGTGGCAGATGTAGTTAGGTTAAATTTTAAGGTTGTCTATTTGACCCATTTTGAAGTTGTTCTAGTTTTTAATATCTTCTACTTTCTTTTCGATTGGGTTTTTTCCCCTCTATTTTCTTCTGTTGTTGTTAGTTGTTTTGTTTGCCTGTATATGAAATCCAGGCTGCACAGGTAAATCTATAGAGACAGGAACTGCATTATTGGTTTCTTGGGGATGTAGAGCGAGTTGGGGGGGGGGAATGGGGAGCTAATAACAATGAGTACTAGAAAAAAGAAAATGTTCTAAAATTGATGAGGTAATGATTGTACAACTCTTCTTGACATGACTGAACTGTTGAATTGAACGCCATGCGGATGGTGTGTCGACAAGACTGTTTAACAGGAAAGAAGACTGCAGCCTGGAAAACGTCTGGGGCAGCTCTGAGCTGTCACGTGCAAAGATTTGAGTCTGTATCCACTGGGTGACATCTCACAGCAACCGCACCCATGACCACTTACAAGCCTGGCGTTGGAGAGGCCATACCCCAAGTGGGGGTACTGGGCTTCCGCGGTCCCCAGGGGCAGCTTGTGGTGGTGCCCTGTGGCCATGTCCACGGCATTTCATGGAGCGGCCTGCTAACCTCCGTGCCCACCGCTCTGCAGAGCACACAGGCCTGGGCGAATGAATAAGTAGTACCTTCCCGCAGAGAGGATCCATACGATAGGCGGTCCCAGGGCAGGTTAGAGTGGTGAAGACTGGGCCTTGCTGGCAGGGGGTCCAGATGATTGCCAGCGACTGGCATGACTCTGATATCCACAATAGAGAAGCCCAGGACTGTGAGTGGACAGATGTTGAGGGCGCGTGTGGAGAACACGTCGCCCTGGGCCGACCAGGACCGAAGGTACCACAGCTGGGTACACTGAATCTGACCAGAGCAAGAGGAACCCATTATGTTGCCTGACAGTCCTGTTACTTCTTTTGTGCAGATGAAATTTCGTGGTCAAATTATTTTCATTGGCGCTGCCCCGGCTCTCATGTTCTTTTTTAGATGAGATTTTTGCTTTTTAATAGCATTTGTATATCAGATAATAATATCTTTGATGTAATAATTCATGAGGTTTGAAATGTGCTTGTCAATTATGGAGGATGGATTGTGCACTCCGAGTGCTCTCAGCTTTGGGGAAAGTGTGTTAAAAATTAGATTTCGTCCCTGCCTTCAAGATGTTTAAAATGTTTATGATGGTTATTAATTTCAGACTTTGTGGTCTGTCTCCATTCTGAAGGAGATCACGTCAACCTCTGAGAGTTGTGAATGATGGAAAATTCTACTGACGTTGCCATCTTCTGGCTGGGGGAATGGAAGAAGCATTCCCTTCATGCTGCCACTGTTCCTGGGCTGTTCAAATTGTTCCCTTAATGAAAATAGTCTTTTATTGTATAATTAATGTATTTCCTTGCTAAAATACAGGGGTGGGTGTGTGTGTGTAAAAAATCACCCGAAAAAATTTCACCCTTAGCTAACACGCCGTTCTTTCATGCCTCTGTTAATACATATGCAGACCTGGTAACCTAGTGGGTTACATGTTGGGCTGCTAATCATAAGGTCAGCAGTTCAAACCCACCAGCCGCTTTCTACTCCCATAAAGAGGCGATGTCTTGGGAACTCTCAAGGGCAGTTCTACCCTGTCCTCCGGGGACCTTACGAATCAGCTTTGAGTACACGGCAGTGAGGTTTGGTTGGGTTTGGTTCTTGAGATACTTACCTGTGTGTGATTTGTATATAACCCTTGCTCTTTATTGTGGAACAGCTGATTTTAAATAGTCATCTTTGTTTGTTTTCCATCCCCCCTTCCCTCCCTGTTTCTGCTTCCAGTCAACCACCATGTTCACAGTGATGTGCTCAGCCCCATTACCAAGCTTGTGTTATCATGCCACATAAGCTGAATGCATGTGTGCATGTACATTTACATAATGTGTGCCCATCCAAGAGGAGGCTCCAAGAAGTACCTTTTAATTCTATTCTCCATGAACGTCCTGCAGCCCCCTCACACACAGTGGCTGCCAAGTCGGTCCAGACCACAACGCCCCCGTGCGTGCAGAGCAGACTGGGACTGCTCCCCAGGCTTTTCAAGGCTCTGAAGCAGATCTCCCAGCCGACTGGCAGGGACGCTCACCACTCTGCTAACAAGGGCCTTCCTCTGCCCCTCTACTTTACCAAGCTGCTCTCTCCTGGTAATGTGTCCGAAGTACGTGAGATGACAGCTCGCCATCCTTGCCCCTCAGGAGCACTCTGCTGTGCCTATTCCCAGACAGATCTGTTTGTTCCGATATTCTTCATCAACAACATAGTTCAAATGCATTGTTTTTTTCTTAGCTTTTCCTTATTCAATATCCAGCATTCACAGGCATATGAGGCGATTGAAAATATCCTAGCTTGGGTCCGGTGCACCTTGTTCTTCAAAGTGGCACCTTTGTTTGTCAACACTTTGTCTATTTATATATAGCTACATAGATATTGCTCTCCTGTCCTAAGGGGTCACTACGAATTGGCGTCGACATGATGGCAGTGAGTTTGATTTGGTTTTATGTAAATGAAAGTCCATTGAGATAAAGGAATATTAAATACTACTGTGACCAGAAAAAATCCCATTGGAGAAAAGGGACGTCTGGTGTCCCTGTGGGACAGTGCATTCCTTTCTGTCACGTCCTTGCACTCCTCACTGGATGCGTCCTTGCACTCCTCACTGGATGCGGCATCTTCTGGTGCACACTCTCCCCAGGTGAGACCCTCCTGTCCTTGCCTCGCATCCATGCCTGCCTCTCGGGTAACGTAGAACTTTCACCCCAGGACAGGGGAAAACTGCCCTGTGTGTTCCTGAGACAGTAACTCTTTACTACAGGAATAGAAAACCTCATCTTCCTCCCAAAGAGCAGCTTGTGGTATTGAACTGCTGACCTTGCAGTTATCAGTCCAATGCATAACCGGTGAGCACTGAGGCTCAGTGAGCACTGAGGCTCGCTAGGCGTATCCAGTAGTCTTTAACTAAATAAGGTAGTTCCTGCCACTGTCTCCAAAGCCTACTGTTGGATCTACTCAGTCCTCTGGGTCAGCAGCAGGCCCTTGTCTTGCAGGAGAAGCGAAGCCCATTAAGGCCTAGGGTCGACAATACCATGTCAGTGTGGGGGTTTACATTGAATGGGGCTGGGCGTGAGCGGCAAGGAAGCTTGTGTTTCAGGTTAGGCCACTTGCAGAAATCTTCTGACTTGGATACGTCTCACTTTTAACTAAAACCAAGAGAAACTCTTCTCTAGTGCGCAAATGATCACATGTAAGTCCCAAGGCTTCACAACAAGAGCAGGTGAAAGTCCGCGCCCCTGTGAACGTGTCACTCTGCCTAGCGCTTCACCTGCCTGCCCAGGGACAAACAGACCTGGTCACCAGGTCACCAGAGAACTGTCCCTGGTCACCCACTTTCCGAATCTGGGAACTGTAGCTGATGGAGTTTTTGTTTCGTTTTGTTGTTTAAGCAACGTTGTTCTA